TTGATTTTATATTTTAAGAATACGAAGTTTAGGCGGAACAGGTGGATTATACACATTAACAAATTGGGATTAGGTGCAGCCTAATCTCGTAAAATACCTAATACTCGGGTCCGTTCTAATAAATCCGACTCATCTCTACTACGAGGTCCCCGCGCCTAAGAGGCACGCGGGGTATATAGGACATGAAGGGTCTGCAGATGTTGTGAGCGGACCGCGGGCCCAAGGATATACGATCTATGTTAACCTTTCTTTATCATCATTATCAGCCTGCGGCAGTCCACTTCTATTTTTTTATTGCTTAGATGGGTGGACGAGCTCACAGCCCACCTGGTCTTAAGTGGTTACTGGAGCCCATAGACATCTACAACGTAAATGCGCCACCCACCCTGTGACACAAGTTCCAAGGTCCCAAGTATAGTTACAACGGCTGCCCCACCCTTCAAACCGAAACGCATTACTGCTTCACGGCAGAAATAGGCGGGGCGGTGGTACCTACCCGCGCGGACTCACAAGAGGTCCTAGCACCAGGTTCTACGCATCCAGTCATTTCCAGATGCCCTGCGCAGGTGGTCGCTCCATCTAGCAGAAGAGCGTCCTACACTACGTTTGCCGGTTCGCGGTCTCCACTCCAGAACACGTCTAGCCCAACGGTTATCGGTTCTGCGATATATGACGTAACCTTTCTCGAGATATACATTTAAATATCAAGATCCGATCAGTGGTTTTTGGGTTATTCTTAATCATGCAAGTTTAATTGGGTTCGACTGCATTGATAATGTTCTTATTTTACTATGCTGAAGGCGGTTTTTTGTTCTTTTTTTTTGATATTTGCGCGTGTTTCCAATATACCTCTATATTCTATTCTATATGTGATTAATGACCTCAGCATTAGTCGTAAGACCGATTTAATTAATTGTATTTATTTCTCGATTAAATATGAGACCCTCAGAGCAATAGTGACCTTTTTCTTTTTTAAACGACTCCCCTGCACTCTTACACCCGACGTCCGATCCCCTCCGAGGTGAGAATTCGGATGAGGTAGGGGGGCTACCGCGGTCAACACTACAACCAGACGGCGCGGCTCACCCCAAGGACGCCCAGCCGACGGAGCCTTCGAGGCGAGAGCAAAAGTGACCTAAGCCTACCAAAGTTAGTATGGAGGCAATTAGGTTTGAATTTTCATGAATTTAAATTTGAGGAGGCAAAAAAACAATACGCGCAAAAATAATGTTACAAAGCCATCAGTTATCTATGGGTGAAACTGTGGATAGGCCGGTTATGCATTAAAATTTATTATATTTTAAATAAATTTCAATATACATGTAAGCTTGAATATAACAAATTGTGGGTTAGGCCACTTTCGCGTTGACGACCTCATATCATAGCTATCCTGTTTCATATCGAGCGGTGAAAGGTCATTTGGTTTAAGCGACATTCCGCTTAATACGCGACACCTATCTTTGTAATTAAATGTCCGTTTTATTTGGAATAACCATAAATTTGAACTTCAATTAAGTTTATTCCATTCGAATAGCTGACGTTTTTTTTTGTTGTGACATTTTTCTCTCTCTCCTGTAAAGCTGCAAAAATGTCGCTTAAGTCACACAGCCTCGTCGATATGAATGCTATTTTATATATGTAATACCTATTTTAATATAGTTAATAAATTGAAAAATAATAATTAATATTTACTCTGCAGTCTGTACACGCAGCGCAACACACACACAAGCACATACCTTTTATTTGAGAACTCACACATACGCGGTTTTACGACACGCACACAGCGACGCGACGGACGATCTTTTACTTCGCACACAGACACAAGTTTTTTTTTTGAGTTTGCTCTCTCAAGTCGAGCTTTTTTTTTCTATCGAAGGTCCATACGCCGTTCTGTGTGATGGTAAACGGTCACCGCTGCGGATGTGGTTTTAGTGAGTTTTATTTTATTTTATTAACAACCAGTCGAGGTCTTGGCCTTTCTGAAGTTAGCTGGTTAGAGGAGTCCATGGACATCTAAACGTGCTTATTTTTATTACTGCTCTTGTAGGCAGACGAGCATACACTCCATCTGATGGTGAGTGGTTACCGTCGCCCATGGACTTCAGCAATGCCAGGGGCAGAGCCAAGCTTTCTATTAGTCTAGATAAAGTACTAGGACATTATGAATTCAAAGAGATCTCACTTGGAAGCCTTCTGCCTACCGTTAAGTACTCTCCACAAGGCTCCAAGCTGTCTACTGGTCTAGATAAAGTACTAGGACATAATGAATTCCAAGAGATCTCACTTGGAAGTCTTCTGCCTACCGTTCAGTACTCTCCACAAGCCTCGTTTGAAGAAGGACTTGTCATAGCGCTCGGGAAACACCGTGGAGGGAGCTCATTCCATAGCCGGATGGTACGTGGCAAGAAAGATCTCTGGAAACGCACTGTGGATGAACGTAGTGGCTCCAGGTAGTATGGATGAACTCTACTCCGGTGGCGGGCGGTGCGATGGTAAAAATGAGATGATGGTATCATCTCGAACAATTAATTCAACATGAATGTGATAGACGCAAAAAAATAATCGAAACGGGTAACTGCTTAGGGCCAGTTTATTGCTTAAGTTAGTGTTAAGTGGTTACTGAAGCCCATAGGCATCTACAACGTTAACGCGCCACCCATCTCGAGAAATAAGTTCTAAGGTCTCAGTATAGTTACAACGGCTGCCCCACCCTTCAAACCTAAACGCATTACTGCTTCACGGCAGAAATAGGCAGGGCGATGGTACCTACCCGTGCGGACTCACAAGAGGTCCTACCACCAGTAAATATAAGTAAATAGTTAAGTAGTAAGTTAAGACATTTTTTTCCCCTACCTATTCGTTGGTAGTCTGAGGTTATTCTAGCTACGCGCGGATGGGTGGGTGAGCTCACGGACTCAACCTGAGAGAATTTGCTAACACTAGCCCTAGCAAGAGCAGTGCTTCGCTGAATCTACCGCCGCAGAATCGCGATCCACTGAGAAGATCCGACGAGAAACCCAGTGGAAGTAATATACTTTTTTGGTTTGATTACATTCGGCATGCGTTTATTTCTTGGAGCACAATGAAGAATTACATTTTATTTTTTATCAAACTGTAATAATTTAAGGTTTTTTTTTTTTTATAAAGTAATTTAATTTTTAATTTCTTTAAATAACAAGCCGTAATCTTCTTTTGAGTCGAGGTTGAGGAAGTTTAGACATGACAATTGCCCTAGACACGTCCTTACAGAACCTCCCATAGACACAGCCCACCGAGTTTCTCGCCGGATCTTCTCAGTGGGTCGCGTTTCCGATCCAGTGGTAGATTCTGCGAAGTAATGCTCTTGCTAGGGCCAGTGTTAGCAACACACCCGACTGCCGCCAACTGCCGACTTGATCTGGTCGGTCCATGGCATTGGCAACCTTCCACGCGGTCTCGTGCCTTCTACTTTGCCCTGANATCCTCCCATAGACACAGCCCACCGAGTTTCTCGCCGGATCTTCTCAGTGGGTCGCGTTTCCGATCCAGTGGTAGATTCTGCGAAGTAATGCTCTTGCTAGGGCCAGTGTTAGCAACACACCCGACTGCCGCCAACTGCCGACTTGATCTGGTCGGTCCATGGCATTGGCAACCTTCCACGCGGTCTCGTGCCTTCTACTTTGCCCTGAACGACAAGGCGCTCTATGGAGTAATTTCCTCGCCGGGAGATATGTTAATGCCGAGTTCTCGGTATTAAGCAGCATAATATTAATCAGCATAGGTAGGATAAAACAAAATTAAGCCGATTAAAAGACAATTTCTTACGCAAGGTGTAGAAGGTGTATTGCTGCTGGAGGTGGTAACTTTGAAAACTTTTTGTAAATTTTAAAAATTAATTTTGACATTATCATCTGTGTTTTAACCACTTCTTAATTGAAACTTTTTTTAAACAACCTCGATATATTTTGGTTAATTTCTAGCATTCTCTATCGTTAATTAACCTTACGAATGATACAATTGTCAAAATAAAATTATTTTGTAAGACCAAATAAATTTAAGAATTTTCCACCTCGCTGTCTTTGAAGGCCAATTTTAGCCAAACTAGCCCATTAAGCTATACTTTTTTTTATTGATTATGAAAGCTGAGAGTCTAACGCATTTTTTAAAGTCACTTAGAAACTATTTAATCACCTGTTTAGGTTTTTAATTTAAAGTTGAAAATGTAAGTCTTATTCACCGACCGTAATTTTTTCTCTTTACACCAAATTTTTTACAACTTCTAAAAATGTAACGAAGCTGGTTATTTTATGCATAAAATAACAACTCATAGAAAATTAATTGCAAAAAAAAGTCTTGAAAAGTCTTCTAATTTAAAAAAAAATTTTTTTAAGTAAATTTTAAGTAAGTTTTAAGAAAACTATCAAAAATCGCGGACCATACATGGGGGTGATTCGGATACCCCACGACACGAGGGATCTCAAAATTTTTTTGGTCGACAATGTCCCGGCCACCTTATATATAATAATCGACATCAGTCAGGGGTGCTGCTGATATTATATGGCCGTACATACTATTAACCGGATTTTTCGTCCACAGCCGGATAATATTAGAGGCCGGACAAGCCCGTAGGATATTTGTGCCAGAGCCACACTCAAGAGTAAGAAGAGCCGCACTTTGCCGACCTCTCCCCCACGTCATTTCGGGTCCTCCCGATCCACTAACGGTGCTTTTAGGTACCTCAAGCACCGGTCATCGTTTTCGTCGAACTCGTCGCTTGCGACGAACGGTTCGACGAGTAAACTAACCCTCAGACACAGCCCACTGAGTTTCTCGCCGGATCTTCTCAGTGGGTCGCGTTTTCGATCCGGTGGTAGATTCTGCGAAGCACGGCTCTTGCTAGGGTTCGTGTTAGCAACGTCGTCAGATTTGAGTCCCATGAGCTCATCTACTAGTTAAGGTTACGCTGAAATAGCCTCTCAAGGCCTTCAGACAGATACCCTAGAATAAGGAGTTAAACTAACCTGTCAACAGGCGGCGGTAGGGGTGCCATCATGTGTGGGTGCGGCGGCATTGGGGGGTGCGGCGCGTGGGGGTGAAACGGCGAGCCCGGCGGCGCGAACCCCGGCGGGAAATGCTGCTGCGGGGGGCCGGGGGGGAACCCGCCGCCGGAGCCCGGCCGCGCTGACGGGCTGCCAAAGGGCCCGGCAGCGGCGTACGGCGGACCGAAGCCCGGCCCCGGCGTGGAGGGGGCGGGGGAGGCGGCGAACGCGGGTCCGGCCGGTGAGCCCGCCGGCGGCGCGAACGACGCGAACGGCGGCTCGCTATTCCCGGTCTTCCAGGCGGGGGGCACGCCGCCGGCCGTCTCGTCCAGCGCCGGGACTCGCCGCTGCAGGCCCACCGACATCTGCGCACACACGACACATAAACTAGTTGTAGATTAAGCGGCTCAAGCTTTAAGTCGTCGTGGCCTAAAGGATAAGACGTCCGGTGCATTCGTATGTAGCGATGCACCGGTGTTCGAATCCCGCAGGCGGGTACCAAATTTTTTCTAATGAAATAAGTACTCAACAAATGTTCACGATTGACTTCCACGGTGAAGGAGTAACAACGTGTAATCAAAATCAAACCAAAATTATAATTTGCGTACCCAACACTCCGCCTATTTCTGCCGTGAAGCAGTAACGCGTTTCGGTTCGAAGGGCGTGGGGCAGCCGTTGTAACTATACTGAGACCTTAGAACTTATATCTCAAAGTAGGTGGCAGCATTTACCTTTGTCTATGAGCTCCGGTAACCACTTAACACCAGGTGGGGCGTGAGCTCGTCCACCCACCTAAGCATTAAAAAAATAGGGTATGGAACAAATACCATCCAATACGGTTATCTCGACCGCGAAGTGAATCGACTTTATTTAGGTACGTCAAAAATGATTGTCTTAAAATTAAGTAACGCGTTTTGTTACGAAAAGCCCAATTGTCCATGTACTTTCTATCTTTAGCAATGTGTGTTCGGCCGTGATCAGGTTATGTTCACGAGCGAAGCGGTTTGATTGACGAACGTATAGGGCATGGTCCGGTCGCTGTCTACAGCTCACTGAGTATCTCGCTGGATCTTCTCAGTGGGTCGCGTTTCCGATCCGGCGGTAGATTCAGCGAAGCACGGCTCTTGCTAGGGCTAGTGTTAGCGACATCGTCAGGTTAGAGCACCGTGAGCTCACCTACTCGCCCTGTTACGGTGGCATAATCCTCTACGTTACCAGTATAGCGGGTTTAGTTTAGTCCGGTGTTTCCCAACGTGGGGCCCACGCCTCACAAGGGACAATTTGATAATTAAGAGGGGCAATCGCACTAAATTAATATAGAAAATCTGTTTTAAAATTATTTTGAATTTGCTAAAACTGTTGAAAAAAGAAATCATAAACACAATTGGTATTCGCCTTTAAAGAACAGATTTAACCCTCTTAGTGGTAAAATTATTTTCACATATATTGCACAAAATTGCTAAAGGATATAACAAAAAAAATAGCCTATAAAAACTTTAACTTACAACAAAACAATGCTAAATTCACAGTAAAATAATTTTAAATGGTTATTTATATTCTTGTATATTAATATAATAATATGCATAATCTGAATCTCGGAAACGGCCCAACGATTTTCATAATACAGAGGATTTCGGGGGCNTATTTTCACATATATTGCACAAAATTGCTAAAGGATATAACAAAAAAAATAGCCTATAAAAACTTTAACTTACAACAAAACAATGCTAAATTCACAGTAAAATAATTTTAAATGGTTATTTATATTCTTGTATATTAATATAATAATATGCATAATCTGAATCTCGGAAACGGCCCAACGATTTTCATAATACAGAGGATTTCGGGGGCCATAAATCGATCTAGCTACGATTTATTTTCAGAAAATGTTGTTTTATTCGTGTTTTCAATAATCAACTTTATCGATAATTTTGATTTTTTCTTTAAATAAGCAGTTCAATATTTTTTTTAATATTCTGCCGGTAAGATCGAATAATATTGTTCATATTTTATCATTCGTATTTAAATATAATTTCTAAAAAACACAAATTATCAAAAAAAAAACCGAGCGAAGCTCGATCATTATTTGGTACGTATTAATAGACAGTCGATATATCGACGATTCGCGCACTAACGTCTAATGAATTTTTAAAGTAGATGTAAGCAATGTTCACGACGTTCAGGGCGAGAGAGGGGACGGGGGAAGGCAGCGGGAGGAGGATGCGCCCGCGGCCTAAGATGCGTGTTCGTCGACCAGCCAGGTGACACGCGTCAACATTTGTTAATAAATAATGTATTTTACAAGTATTTAAATAAACTATTAAAATTAACTGTCATGCGTGGTTTCTTCTTCACCATCGTCATGAACAGCAATAACAATAGAAGACCGCTAAGATATAATCGCTACCGCTTGTACAGCGTGCCCGCTTCATTGACGTAAGCGTGGCGTTGTTACATTTGTTGTGCAACCGTTATAGAAATAGTATACGTTTTGGAACTTGCCAATGCAATGACTGAATGCCAGTTATCTTTGTAAAAATAAGGTTTTTAACGTATAGTTTTTATTTTAAAAGTTATTTGAGACACAAAATCAGGAGGAATTATAATTTGCGTAATTACTGGTGGCAGGACCTCTTGTGAGTCCGCGCGGGTAGGTACTACCACCCTGCCTATTTCTGCCGTGAAGCAGTAATGCGTTTCGGTTTGAAGGTTGGGACAGCCGTCGTAACTATACTGAGACTTTAGAACTTATATCTCGAGGTGGGTGGCGCATTTACGTTGTAGATGTCTACGGGGCTCCAGTAACCACTTAATACCAGGTGGGCTGTGAGCTCGTCCACCCATGTAATCACTAAAAAAGAAGGTGGATTGCGAAAAGCCGCCGAGTTCAGACACCAGTTTGGCCTATGAATCTAAACTGCAAAAGAATACTCCTTAAGAATAACCGAGTTAGTTAGTGATGAACGTGCTTATCATCCACTTGACCTTAAATGGTATGGTGATGGCATGGTAATGGTATGATGATGGTATAGTAATGGCATGGTAATGGTATGGGTACTAAAGACAGCTAAGTAATTTTACAGCGAAATTGATTCACACTTTCTATTATTTTATTTCGCAAAGTACCAGGATCGCATAGCTTGTAGGCAGTGGTTTTCATCGAGTCCTATAATACTAATAAAAATAAATGAAATAAAATAAAAGAAAGCCTTTTATTTCGCCCCTAAAAATAACTAAATCCTTTTTTTTTCATTTATGACTTATTATCATTGTGTTTACATTCATTTTGATAACTTTTTAAAAATAGCCAAAAAAAAAACAAAAATATTGTTTTTTTATAAAAACTTATGATATTTCCATTTATCACAGTAAAATTTTTTTTTTCAAAAACCCAATTACGCTTTAAATAAGTATATTAGTACTAGTATTCAAAAAGGACAATGTCATAGGTAACAAAATATTTATTATAACATTTTTTAACGGGCTCTTGCGAGGCGACCAAGACACGCGGCTTCGCTCGCACCGCACGTTGATATCTTGTGTCGTGACTCCATCCAAGCACATCTCGCCTCTATGACTCCCTGGTATTTTAATAAGGTTATTGTACTTACAAGTACCGAGGGCAGACAAACTTGACTATTTATTTATGTATCTATATATTAATACGTGAAGCAAAAACTTTGTACACCTTGTTACGAAAATTGCGCGGACGGAGGAGTATGAAAAGCACACTTATGAAGAATATAGAGAAGAAATGCTGAATGTAATTTTTTTTGAAGTATGCATAAATGTTGCCGTTGTTACTGTACTTGAGACCTTAGAACTTATATCTCGAGGTGGGTGGCGCATTTACGTTGTAGATGTCTATGGGCTCCAGTAACCACTTAACACCAGGTGGGCTGTGAGCTCGTCCACCCATATAAGCAAAAAAAAAAGTACACTAAATCAATAAATGAAAACATTAGACACACTAAGTACCATATATTTGACACACCATGTCGTTCTACACTCTTTTGTTTATTGTTTAAAGTCTGCGGTCAAATTGACAATAGATTAATATTGTTTGTCTTTAATATTATGTATTTACTAGCTGACCCGGCAAACATTGTTTTGCCATATATAAGATGTCTAAGGAATTTCTAGTGTAGAAAAAAAAACTAACTTATTGTAAGTGTGTAAGGATGTGGTAAATGAGTGAAAGAGGTATGTAGTGCTGTGAACGATGAGGGAATATAATATAATAAAAATAACAAAACCTCATTCAACCACGACTCATTATAACAAAAAAAAAAAGTCCAAATAAAAAAAAATAAGTTAGGGGTGGACAACCCTAATCACTTAGGGCTATGAAAAATAGATAGTAGCCGATTCTCAGGCTTACTGAATATGCATAAAAAATTTCATGAGAATCGGTCAAGCGGTTTCGGAGGAGTATGGGAACGAACATTGTGACACGAGAATTTTATATATTAGAAGATATCTACAGTGTAGTCTTGACGTAATCTGTGATTATAGAAGTAAAGTATTTTACAACAGAACCATAATAATGTTCAAACTTATAATTTTAATTAATTATGGTCGAATTTCGACCAGTAGACGACCACTATTTCTTAATTAAAATGACTATTTTAATTCTGAAGTCGTCGGGGCCTAAATGATATAAGGCGCGGTGTACTTCGGTGACTGTATGTGACTTTTCCCGGTTCTTAGTACTCTAGAATTCGTCTCAATGTGGAATATGCAGAACTTTAGCGGCTCCGATGCCCACTTAACATCAAGTGCGTTGTGAGCTTGTACACCTGCCTACGCAATAATATATCGAGGTGTGAAATTCTATTTGGTTTGGTTTTAAGCGATACCACATACACACGTTCAGTAGAATTATCTATATATTATTAATACGTGAAGCAAAAACTTTGTGTCCCTTTTTACGAAAATTGCGCGGACGGAGGAGTATGAAATTTCTCACACTTATAGAGAATATAGAGAAGAAGTGCACAATGCTAATACTTTTTTTTAAAAATGTGTAAAAGATACTTTAAATCAATAAAGAAAACATTACACACACTACATAGCATGTATTTGACGCACACACGCATGCATACTATTTATTGTCAAACTTTTGTTCTTGACGTCTGTTGTCAAATTGAGAATAGATTAAATATTGTTTGTCTTTATTAATATTTTTTATAGTGTAGTCTTGGCGAAATTTGTGAGTATAGAAGTATAAAATACAATCATAATAGTGGCAATCATATCAAAGGTGGCAATCTGTGCATTTGGACAAAAAAATGTTATTGATATGTCAATACAGATTGATTTGAATATAATCGTCTCCTTCAAAGAATACGGTTCAAAATCTGCA